CCACGAGACCACCACCACGAGACCACCACCACGAGACCACCACCACGAGACCACCACCACGACCACCAACACAACCACCCGCACGGACCCCCACCACGGACCACCACCACGGACCAACCACCACGGACCACCACCACGGGACCACCACCACGGGACCACCACCACGGGACCACCACCACGAGACAACCACCACAGGACCACCACCACGGAACCACCACCACGAGACCACCACCGCGGACCACCGCCACGGACCACCACCACCCGGCCACCACCCTGGGACCACCCCCACGAGACCGCCACGACGGCCACCAGGGACCACCACCACCGCCACCGCCACCACCACGACAGACCACCACTACCAAAGGAGCACCACCGCCACGGGACCACCATCACACTGCGGGACCACCACGACGAACACCATGGGACCACGGACCACCGCCACGGGCATTCGAGAAAACCCCCCAAACCCCCAGCCTTTCAACCCCAACCCCTCAGCACCCCAAAACCACCCACCCCCCACCGCACCCGACAGAACCCAAACCATTACAGCAAAAGCAAAAAAACAAAACCCCCCCAAAACACGACAAAACTCCGGACATAAACCCTATACAATTTCTATTAAACCCCAAAACCCTACACCGTAAAGCGTAAAACCCTGAACCCGGGGGATCCCGAAAATTCCCGGAATTTAAATTCCTAGGATTTTTCGAGAGCTGTTGCTGATATATGATCGTGAGGCCGAACCCCCTTGAACAGCTGGCGGGCGGCGACCGTCATCGGAACTACCCTGGACCAAGAGATTTCCTTGAAGATTTCCTTGAAGGTGAAGGGGCACACACGTCATCACTATTGCGCTGGAACCTTAAATCCAACCCGGCAAGCCCAAACCTCAATCCGGACAATTCCTAAAATTCCGGGAATTTTCAGCTCCGGGTGATTCCCAAAATTCCCAGGATTTTTAGACAAAAAGTGTTAAAATTCCCGGAATTTTCAGGATCCCCCTGCAAGGCCCTCACAAGCAGCCAAATAGACCGGAAGAGGAGGCGGAGCATCCGACGAGGCGGCCGCAGAGCGAAAATAGGGGTCGAGCCCGTAGCCTTTTATAGGGATATTCAATCCCAATCTTATCGAGAAAAAAAGGCATCCCACCCAAAAAATAGCGTGCATCCAAAACAATTCTATTCGTACGAAAATTAAAGTAAGTGTTCATATGAAAATAAATGATATAAAACCACAGAAATAAATATATTCTCACCATTACAACCTAGAAGTCAAAATAATAAATTTATCAAACCGAGATTTATACGAAACGAATGAATAAGAAAATTGAAATATCAAAAAATGCACAAATCATACATATATCTATCCAGACTTGAGATCTACGATCCGAATCGAGAAAGAAAAAATTCCGAAAATCTGAAATATGAAATCAGACGAACACGGACAAGAAAGGAGGCATTCAGAAATGAGAGTGTCCCCAGCGCAGGACTACATTTTCAGACAGGCGGTCACGTGTCGCACCTCCTCTTGTGAGGAGGGGTCGATCGACTGGAACACAGCTCCACACCTAGCTGGGGGGTTGAAATACTTCAGGCAACATAGCAATACACGTCGAGAAGCTGCTGGTAGAGTCTCTGGTTTGAATCAAGCAGCAGTGCATCCAGCATGCTTGCCGTTTGACCTGTCAAATTCTAACGACGGAAGCGCCGGATGGGGTAGGTCAAGCACCTATCTGTCCCACCCTCACGGCCCGAGTTTTGAACGGTAAGAAATCAAGACTACGTGCCGTTTATTGGTGGCAGGCTGAACTGGGATGCTGTCGCACGTCAGAGATGCCAGCATCACCGTCTAAGTTGCTGTAAGCTTAAGATGATACCCGAATGAACCCCCCCAAACCCTAAACCCTGAACCCTAAATCCCCCCTAACCCCCCCTTATGCTTAAACCGCACAAGAAGGGATGAAGGCTTTCAGCGGTCGTTCTCCCAGCGGCGCTCAATCTGCGCAGCCCTGGCCAGAACTAGGGTATTTAGGGTTTAGGGTTTAGGATTTAGGGTGTGGCGTATACTGTTTAGGGTTGGGCTTAGGGTAAACCCTAAACCCTAAACCCTAAACCCTAAACCCTAAACCCTAAACCCTAAACCCCAAACCCTAAACCCTAAACCCTAAACCCTAAACCCTAAACCCTAAGCCCTACACCTACACCGGCCGCGATTGTTGTTCGGAATACAGTTTACCCATATGATAATAATGGTACCCATTCTTGGGTAGGTTTCTTTCACAGGGAACCTCGAAACCAAAAAATGTAAAGGGCACCACTGGGCTATCCAGTTCCAACCTTGTCGTCTGTTTGGAAACTCACGCTCTGCTTTGAACTTGCATTCCGCTTCGCATTCTGCATCATGCAAGCACAAAACCCTGAACCCTAAACCCTAAACCCTAATCCCTAAACCCTAAACCCTATATAATCCCTAAAGATCCCGTAAGCCAGAAGACCCCGGCCTCCCTAAAGCGCTCTCCCTCCGCGCGGACTGGCCGCCCTTCACGAAGTAGCAGTAGTCCTTGGCATCAACCTAAACCCTAAACCCTAAACCCTAAACCCTAAACCCTAAACCCTAAACCCTAAACCCTAAACCCTAAACCCTAAACCCTAAACCCTAAACCGTGTCAGGGTATAGAAAGGCAGGTCTGGGGCTTAGGGTGGCTGGGGGGAGGGGGGGGTTTGGGGGCCCCCAAACCCTAAAACCTAAACCCTAATTACTAAACCCTCAACACTAAATAAACAGAAATTGTATGTGGTATCATTCTGAATTCCCAAGTTATTTGTCTAAGCAGCTGACAAGCCGAGTTTAAGTAAACTAATGCAAAGCGTTTGTTTGTGCCTAAACAGCTGATAAGCCGAGCTTCTGTAAATTCATCCAAAACGCTGTTAGGAAGCCAGCAAGGCCCAAAGCCCCGACAAACCGCCAAAGGAAGGCCCGCAAGGCTGAAACCCAAAGACAATCCCCTGGGCCCTCGGAGCGCGGCCACCCCCTTCCCCTCCCCAACCCCCCCAAAACCCTAAACCCCTGCACCCACACTAGGGAGTCTGGCAAGGAAGAGCGCCATCGCTATGAGCGCAGCCTTCCATTCGGGGCTTTGCACCTGCGCCCACGGTGCTCACCAAAGATGTTACGTTTCATTCCAGCAGCTTCAGGCTGAGAGGTCTAGGGTTTAGGGTTTAGGGTTCATGGGGTTTAGGGTTTCGGGTTTATAGGGTTTAGGGTTTAGGGTTCTGCGTGTCCTGTTAGAAGGACAGCTCTCATGTAAGAAGCTCGTGCTTTAACGACTCCGCGTGAGGTGGCTTTGACTGAGCCTCCTTGAAGTCGACATGGAACTGGTCGGAGTCGGCGTTGACGCCTGTTACCAGGCCAAGCGCCTCCCAAACAGAGAAGCAACTGTAAGAGCCTGACAAAGAATCGTTAGTCTCTGGCTGCTAGCCGTGCGCAGCACTTGCATCTGCATGAGTGGCCCAATCTGAACTCGTTGGCCCGCATCCAGCCTGCTGGGTGTTGAACTGTCGCCTGATGCTTCCCACCTCAAATAGCAAGAGCTAATGCAAATGCGGCTTCCTCGCACCTGTCGTTAGCTATGCCTGGACCTACCACTAACCCAACAAGCACTGCATTGCGCAAGCCGTCTGCAAGCCCATGGCGTGCTGGCCATGGTCCCACACTTGGAAGTGAGTCTCCTGATCGCGCACGTGGCCGTAGAAACTTTATATCGCCTTGTCCCTTGACAAGGCTAAATCTGGTGATGTTCCCCCCCATATACGAACAGTCCTTAATAGGGATCATAGTATCCCCTAAACCCTAAACCCTAAACCCTATTATCATCCCTAAACCCTAAACCCTAAACCCTAAACCCTAAACCCTAAACCCTAAACCCTATTATCATCCCTATGAAGGACTGTTAGAAAAAGGGGGAACATCCCAAGGTAATCTGTTGACCATTAAGGTGCACTTCCCTTTCTTCAACGGGCGTGCAGGTTTCTCCCTAAAGGGTTTAGAGTTTAGAGTTTAGAGTTTAGAGTTTAGGGTTTAGGGTTTAGGGTTTAGGGTTTAGAGTTTAGGAATTAAGGTCTTGTCTTATCCCCATGCACTCCTTATATGACCATATGGACCATATTCTAAGCTACCCACAGCATTCTGAGTGAACAGACCCCTTAACCCCAAACCCAGACTCTGTAGGGGCCTTTTTAATTAGAATAGGGTTTTGGAGGTTATTGTAGTATAACTATGTAGGGACCATAATACCAACAGTAATTCTTCCGACCCTTACAGTAGGGCAGTTTATGAGGTTCAGGGTCAGTCTCCTGGCAGCCGCATGGGCAGCCCCAGCAAATCAAGGAGCAGTCCTTGGCTGATCGAGGGGTTAGACAGGCACGGGAGTAGGGTTGAGGGCTTCAGGTTTAGCGTCTCGCCCTAAACCAAGCCTTGGGACGCATGGCCGCGGACCCAGGGTTCCTAGCTCAGGCCCGAAACAACACCCCAAAACGTAAACCCCAAGTATCTGCGGACATACGAAAAGGGCTGACCATGTGGCCGATTCCCGAAGAAAAAAGCCTCCTCTGAAAAGATCCCCCCGAATCTGGGCCCTGAGCCGATGCGACTTGTAATTGCTGCGTTGTTGATAGAGTCTGGAACCGAATGCCTGTGGGCGACAGTTTGCAAAACAAAGGTCCCCAGCACCCGAGATCCGCAGTTTTTATAGTTCCACACGCTCTGCTTGAAGATGTAATATAGGGGCCTTCATGATTAGAACAGGGTTTTTGGGGTTCTTGTGGTATATTCATAAAGGGACCATAGGGGAACACCATCAGTAATCATTCCAACCCCTAGACTAGGCCGAGCTTCGCAGCAGTGGTGGTTCAAGTTGAGAACTTCGGAACCATTCTGATCCTTGGCTGATGGTCTACACAACACGAGAACTCATCGCCCTCTGCCTTGGCCCCAAGGCCATTCTAGATGGCGTTGCTGTGTGGCCTTCGCCCCACATCTCTCATGGTCTCCTTCCTTCGAACCCAAACCTCAGAACCTCCCAAAAGCCCCACCCAAGAACCCCTAAATCCCTAAGTCCCTAAATCCCTAAATCCCTCAATCCCTCAATCCCTCAATCCCTCAATCCCTCAATCCCTAAATCCCGAAATCCCTAAATCCCTAATCCCTAAACCCTAAACTCTAAAGCCTGCGTTGTCAGGGTGCATTCATGTGAATCCGAAGGTGGCAGCAGGAGCATGGCTCGACAGTAGTCGCAATCAGCTGGTTCGTCAGCGCCTCATCAGGGTTTAGGGTTTAGGGTTTCAGGTTTAGGGTTAGGGTGTAGGATTTAGGGTTTTAGGGTTTAGGGTTTAGGGTTTAGGGTTGAGGGTTTAGGGTTCAGGGTTTAGGGATCTCCAACTGAACCCGGCACCTTATTCGGAGGTTCATGGGTAGATTTTAGTAGGGCTACACGTATGGTGATTGTGCTGACACCCCCCATTTACGGTATAAGTAACCCTACTTTTCACTACTCATGAACCTCCAAAAGACCTCTGCACACACCCCTAAACCCTGTAAACCCTAATCGTCAACAGGTTCGAGCCTCTATCGCAGGATTGAGGCGTTTCAGGGTTTACGGTTCCGGGTGTAGGGCCCTAGGATTTAGGGCTTTATGGCTCAAGGTACCCTGAAACCTGGACCAAGAACCCTAAACCTTAAATCCTAAACCCTGCCAAGAACCCTTGCTCAGGCCACGACGTTGTGGATGTGCATCCTCAGAGGGCATCCGCATCTTGGGGTACTAAATAGTCTGAGAGACAGTGACTCTCAAAGGATTAGACACAAAGAGCTCAATACCGTATAAGGAATATGCCTTAGACCAGATTAAGGAGCCCTATCTAGTTTGATGTCTATCGCTTAATTAAGGGGTATGGGAAGCGGGTGTATTATGCTGCTGGGGAATCTAAAATATTTCTAAGACCATGTTTGTATAGGGGTACCTTATTGGGGTCCTTATTCTAAGAGAATCCTATTATTTGGGGTCTATTATATGGGTCCCTCATTCCCCTAAACTCCCATGTGGGAATAGATTATATTGGAAACTTTTCAGGCTCCCGTTTTAGTCTACTTTGTGGAACAGCTCAGTCGGCCCGTGCCTTCGACGAGCAAGCGGAATGATTCTGAGGTGACGTCCGAGACTCTTGAAGACCCTAAAACCCTAAAACACTTAACCCTAAAACCCTAAAACCCTAAAACCCTAAAAACCTAAAACCCTAAAACCCTAAAACCCTAAAACCCTAAAACCCCAAAACGCTAAAACCCCAAAACCCCAAAGCGCCAAAACCCCAAAGCCCCAAAACCCTCGAACCATAAAACCCCAAGACCACAAAACCACAAAACTCCAAAAACCCTAAACCCTAAACCCCAAACGCTGACACCCTGCCCAGCCACCACCTGGAGCGCGGGGTTCGGGGGAGCTGGGACCTGAAGGGGTTTAGGGTTTGGGGTTTAGGGTCAGGGTTCGCCAGCGCAGCTGGCGCCCCAATTCAGCGGGACCCCCCTCCCCCAAGAACCAGCAATGACACAAAGACTTTTTTAAAGCGCGATTTGAGTTTTGCTGTCCCAAGGTCCACAAAATCCCAGATTTCCAAACCCGATTTGACTTCCGAGCCTGGGAAGCCAGCCCAATGGCCAATTTGCGTGATTGTTTGACAGTTTTTGCCCTTTACAAGCCTGCCGGGACCCGAGGTAAACAGATTTGTTCACAAAGCGCCTTTTCTAAACAATTTTGTCTTCCGTGCTTTTTGGCCTCTCGGACACTCCCCCGCAGGCTATTGCAGCCCCTGAGAACCTTGTAAGCCCTCCTAAAACCTTTCTAACCTTCCAAACCCTTCTAAAACCTTGCCCATACAAAAACCTTCTAAACACTTCTAAAACTCTTAAAACAATTCCTTCTCAATTCTTCGAAACCCTTCTCAACCCTCAAATAAAACTCTTCTTTGAAACGTTTCGGAACCCTTCTAAATCCTTCTAAACCCTTCCAAATAAGACTGCGCAAGCCCTTAACAAAGCTACTTCTAAACCATTCAAAAAACCTTCTCACCTTTTCAAAATACTTCCAAAACCCTTCTAAACCCTTCTAAGCCCTTTGAAACTTCCGAAACTCCTTTTCAACCCTGCAAAAACCCTTCTAAACCCTTCTTTTCTAACACCCGTCGAAGCCCTTCGAAACACTTCTAAACCCTACGAAACCTTCGCAACCCCACAAAACCCTTGTAAACCCTTGAAACTCTTGTCTAAAACCTTCCCAAGCCTTTCTAAACTCTTCGAAACCCCTGCAAAACCTTGAGTGTCTTCTGGGCCGTCACAAATCTGAGCCGAATGATATCCGAACATCGATTCATGAAAAGAAAGTCTGTGAGTCATGTCAACTGCATTTGCATCATAAGTCAGAACTCATGCAAGTCGCGAGATCATTCGACTTGTGTTTGTTATATGCCTTTGTCTCTTGGTCTTGTCAACTCTCGGGGCGAAACATACCTTCACTGTGGAAGACATTTGCTGGCAGGGTATCTTTTGAGTCTAGATTCTGACTCCGACCATGTCACTTAATTTGCGAGAGCTATTTGTGCGGTACGGGAACCTGTCGAGGATGAGGTCCTTTTCGAGTTTTGACCTTGCAGCAGAGCGTCTTGAGATTTGAAATGATAGTGTGATTCTGGCCTGCTTTGCAAGAGCATTGCAGAGCTGCTCTGCTGCAGCAGCTTCTATGGGTGGCGCCGTGGTTGACTGTTCATCTTTACTAAAGAGATGCCGACTTGGACGAATACCAGGACTTCTGTTAGCAGCTGTTTGAGCTTCTTTCACCGTGTGCTGTTTGTGAAAACCTGCAAACAGGCGAGGCGGTTGTGGTTTGAGTGTGAGCATCTGGCCTGAAGGATGTGGCAGGCATTGACGACGCGGTGTGTTCGACATAGTTTTACGGCACACAGCGGTGTCTTTATACAGAGTTGAGAAGGTGCCTCCACACGCAAAGGATGGTCGACGAGCTCCAAGCGGTCGTCTGTTGTCAGAGCTCCCGCGCCGCCGAGGCATCGCTCGAACTGCGAGAAATGTGTCGTGTTACACTGCTTCTCTTTTTGCGCCTTGTGTTTCGTGCATCCTGGTAGGTCGGTGTGGACACGCAAGATGTGGACGAGGTCGCCACGAGCACCTTTCGTCGCGTCAATCGTGTGTATAGGGTTTGAAATGAAAATGCTGAGGTTGTGGCCGGCCAGTCGCAGGATCGTTGAATTGACTGTCTGCTTGATTGGGCTTGCCTGGCTGCTTGAGGCTGTGGCTGCGGTGCTTTCTTGTGAAATTCCGAGTCACCGCTCCCGGCAAGGGAGTGTGTTTTGGCATTCGTATGTGAGGGAGTGGCTTGGACGAGATTCTGACGGGTCTTCGACTAAAATGGAAACACGACACTCCACAAGATGCTGAAACTCCAGGCGTCTCACCTCCCGTCGGGTAGGCTTGAGGAGTTCTACCCTAGTCGAGGGTCTTTATAGTTCGGGGTTTGAGGTATGTGAGTCTAGTTTGTGTACTTGGCTGAGTCATGCGGAAGCACAAGCGCTCGATGATCACCGTGCGTGGCATGTGTTTTTCTTAGCCTTGCCGCTGCACGCCGCGC